TTCTTCCATACACATTTAAATCAGCATTCTGCTGATGTTAAGCAATTTAAGAAAAAAAAATATGTCATGACTCAACATGAATTAAGGGTGAAATCATATAAGTGACATTTTAATCATTTCTCTGATATGATAGATATAGTACTAAATCAGATCTGCTGTAGTGTGTGTCTTATCTGTTAAATGTTTTAGAGATAGGAGTATCAGTCTGCCATTGCCAACTGATTTGATTCAAGGCAAACAGCACGCTGACCTGATTTTAGATGGCCTTTCCTTATAGACACTAACACTGGATCAAAAACTGGCTTTGGGGCCTTAAAGATCTAGAAAAGGAAGGGACATGATGTGTGGCCAAGTATGGTGACCCATACTCAGAATTTGTGCTCTGCATTTAACCCATCCTAGTGCACACACACACACACACACACACGAGGAGCAGTTGGGGGTTCAGTGGGTCACACCTCAGTTGTGGTATTGAAGGTAGAAGAGAACACTGGTCATTCACTCCCCTCAAGACTCAAACCCACAACCTTTGGGTTACAAGTCTGACTCTCTAACCATTAGGCCATGACTAGATTAGATTAGATTAGATAGTTTTAAACATAAGCAAAGGATAAATGCAATATCCTTTGTAGGGTTGTTTGTGAGTTAAACTCATGCACAGATGCATGTTTGTGTCTATTTGTTTTTGTGGGATATATCTGTTTACTTTTGATTTGCATTTTCATTTTTTTATTTATTTATTTTTTATTCTGCCTCTGCCTCCTCTCCCGGCTTGTTTCCCCGAACAAACAGACTTATGTTGTCTGACTGAAATGTTCCGCTCCGTTCTAAAGGAAATGGAAATGCTTTACCACTGCTTACAGTGTAAATGTCAGAGTCGTGATTTGCCTCTAATGAGACAGCACCCTGGCAAGATAGAAAACTTTGTTTTGGAGCTTCTTGCTGTCTTGAAAACATTGATGTGCTGCTTTTGAGTGTCAATGAAGATGTACTCAGAGGCTCCATGTCATTTTTCACTTCTCATGCATATGTATGCCTCAGAACCAGGCCTACTCAAAGCATCTGCACAGGCGGGGAGGAAGATGCAACGAAATCCAGTCCTGAACATGAATCCCTGCCCTAATTCTTTGATTTCCTTTGTTTTGCTCACATTTATGATTTTTGTCAAACCCTTTGAATTAAATAGTTTTTCTAAAAAAAAACTTAGGGACATTTTGTGAAATTATAAAGAAACCCATCTGTAAAATAATAGAGAATATGGTAACACTTGACAAAAAGGTCCCATTTATTAACATTAACCACATTAGTTAACATAAACTAACAATGAAAAATACTTCTAAAGCATTTGTTAATCTTAGTTCATGTTAATTTCAACATTTTCTAATACATTATTAAAATAAAAATGAATTAATAATAACAATTATTTAATGGACCTAAAGTGAACTAACAAGGTTTTTATAAACCATTTTTATCAAATACTGTAACAAATGTGTTGCTCATTGTTAATGTTAGTTAATGCATTCATTAACATTAACTAATGTGACCTTATTGTAAAGTGTTACCAATATTTTTTTTTTGGAATAGTGCTTAGTAATGCCTAATCCATAACAGTACGCTGGTGGTATTGTATTTAAAAATGGAAGGGCTCACCATATCTTCTACATATGTAATATCTGCATAGAAACATATATCCCTTCTCCCACCATGGCCTGATCTCTCTCTCTCTCTGTCCTTAGATGTGAAAGTGTTTTCCTGAATAACATCTCATAACATATATGAGATATGACCCTGTGGAATGCCGGGTTCTGAACTCTTGACCTTGGAGCCACATGGCATGATGAAGCCTTTCATCTGACCTATGAGCAAATACAGGGGATGTTTATGTATGGCTACTTAGAGATTCCCTTGAAGTTGCCTTAAAGACAAAAAATGAGAAGAAAAACAAACATGACAACATGAATCAACATGTATGACATTTATTTATGTATGACATTTGTTATTTAGCTCTCTCTAAATATTCATAGTCAAGCAGAGGACACCGCTAAACCATTTCTTTTAGTAAATGTGTAATTAGCCTACATGTGCAAGTTTTGTAGCTATAGCAGCACTACAAGGAAGAAAACATAGTAGTGGAAGCTTTTTCCGTCCAAAATAGGGCATATGGTGCCCTCTTGTGGAAGGTTTGTTTCAAATAATGCCGCTGAAACAGACTAAAGAAATCATCATCCAAAATGATAATTGTCATCGTTATTATTTCTTTCGTAGAATATAATAGGAAATGTTAGTTAGAGTGACTCAGTCACCATTTACTACTATCGTTGTACGGATAAAAGATCAATGAAAGTGAATGGTGACTGAGGCTGTCACGCCACCTAAAATCCCCTTTTGTGTTTCGCAGAAGGAAAAAAGCAAACAAGATTGCAGCAACGTGTAAACGATGACAACATTTTCATTTTGGGGCAAACTTAGATTATCTCCAATCAAAGAAAGTATAGGCCTAATGCACGGAGATTTTCTTGCTCCATGTTTTGTGGCATTTAAAAATGTTTAGCAAAATTGTATTTCAATCCCTAAAGCAGCTAAAAAAAATGAATGTCTTAAATCTCTCTATATTACTTGCGATGCATGTTGATTACCCTCACTCACGTTTAATTTGTGTTAAAATTATATATATATATATGTGTGTGTGTGTGTGTGTGTGTAATGTGTGTACCTGTTTTTCTATTCTGGTGGGGACTTAAACCTGAATACACACAGACTCATAGGGACTCGTGTCATGTGTAAACATGCTAATAAATCACACAGAATGGAGTTTTTTGAAAATCTAAAAATGCACAAAGTTTCCTGTAAGGGGTAGGTTTAGGGGTATGGTTGGTGTAGGGCAACAGAATATACGGTCTGTACAGTATAAAAACCATTACGCCTATGGAGAGTCCCCACAAGAATAGCAAACCAGACATGTGTGTGTGTGTGTTTATATGTATTTATTTTGTTATATTTTTCTCCCTCATTCTAAGTATTCCTGTTGGGTTGTGTTATAAACTTTTGTGATATAAAGCTTGCTTGAAGAGGTTTCATAAAGATTGGACGGCGTTTCTTACACAAAAGATGAGCACGGCGTCAATTGAGCGTCAGTTGAGAAGCCAATCACTATCAAGCAAGTTGCGCGTGCGCAGTAGTTGAGTTCGCCTCCCTTCAGCATTGCTCAGTGCTCTATTTATATGTATTTATTTTGTTATATTTTTCTCCCTCATTCTAAGTATTCCTGTTGGGTTGTGTTATAAACTTTTGTGATATAAAGCTTGCTTGAAGAGGTTTCATAAAGATTGTACGGCGTTTCTTACACAAAAGATGAGCACGGCGTCAATTGAGCGTCAGTTGAGAAGCCAATCACTATCAAGCAAGTTGCGCGTGCGCAGTAGTTGAGTTCGCCTCCCTTCAGCATTGCTCAGTGCTCTATCATATCATAGTTCTCTTTGTGAGATTTTTCAAGCTGCAGGGATGACCGATGTCCAACACTCGCCAGAAGATGACAAACAAAGCCACGGAAAAGAGCCGCAATGTAATCATTTACCAGACACTAAAGAGGGGAATTGAGCTATAGCGATCGACAGAATGTTCTAGAATGGTCATGTGATGTCCGGAGACCAGTTATGTCGCACTTTAAAAAAAAATACTCTGACGTACTTGTCGGTTTCTTATAGGAGTTCGTCCGCCGTCGTAAAAAATAAACAGGTTTAATTGTAAAATGGCGTTTCGGAGTTGCTTGTGCTATAAAAATAGGGAGGTTTCGATGCGATACATTTTAAAGGAATATGTTCTCGGCGTTAAAGCCGCGAGGGGGAAGAAGGGAGCACGTGAGGGGTCTTGTCCAATGGGATTAGGCGCTTTCAGCAGGAGGGTATAAATACCAGGCGGTTGCCGTGAGAGAAGTCCGCCATTGTTGACTAACCTTTCAAAGAAACCGAGTAATTTCAAACGTATACATGTATGTGACGTTAATTTGTTCTGTTGGCGTTGAAAACTAAACTCAAAACTCTTTAAGTCGTTTTCAAAGAGGGTTTTTTTCGGGCGCAAAGCATCAGCAAGATCCGGTGACGTTTTCCAGCAGAGCTCATCCTGCACCGCAACGTCTGTCTCAGTTCGGCCGTTTTAACTTTGTTGTTCCCGAGACGGAAAGGTAACATTTTGGATCCAGGTTGAACTAGCTTCATTTAGCTGACGGAATGGTTAGGGGAGGGACTGCTAACTGAGCTCAATGTCAGCATCTGACGGGGCGGGGTAATGTGTGGCTATGCTATGCTAAAACTAGCAAGGCGCCATTTTGTGACTCCAGGCTTGCTAACATAATTATTCATTGAATTAATGCAAACCAGTCTCTAATTATCTGTAGTGTGTTCTATGCTTGTATAAGGTAACGGGTGTCCGTAAAACGTTATTTAAGCCTTATTAAGCATTATTATTGAGCCGGAAGTTAGTGTTGCGTCATCCTTAGAGGTCGTCGGGTTTATATAACGCATGTCCCTGGGCTGAGGAAAGAAACAAACATGTCTTGCATATAAACGCAATATATGGCGTATATCGCACTCCTAGAGTATAGGGAGTTTTTTTTAATTCAGTATTAAATAGTTTGTCTGTTTTGTTGACTTGCAGTTTTTTTCTGTTCTGAGTAGTAATGTCGTTCTCCCATGTGCAGTCTGTAATTTGGCACGTGCTTGTCCAAACAAACCGGAATAAATTGTCGCAACGTCGCTACATTTGTATAGACTAATTGTGAACTACTAATTGTAAGACAAACAAACATGAGTCTTTAGCTTTCAAGTGGACTTTATCGATGAAAATGTACAACATTCCCTGCTCCCCTCCAAAAACAAAAAGATTCCCTTCCCAATCACAAGCAAACCACTGTGAAACGAACTGTTTTTATATAGCTTACAAAAAATAAAATAGCATTTTTAACTTTTATTTTCGAATTGTTTTTCTTGTGTAAATACTAACAATTACTACTGGAAGGCAATGGAGTGTATAGAAGACTTCAACACCATGTTCACAAACTGTTACGTGTACAATCGGGTGAGGGTGCTGCTCTCGTTTTGTGTATTGTTACTAAAAATTGAAGATTTGAAATGCAATATTTGGTTTCAGCCAGGAGATGATATTGTTCGGATGGCTCAAGCTCTTGAGAAGCATTTCTTGGAGAAGATGGCAAAGATGCCCCAAGAGGAGTTTGAGATCTCTGCTCTGACATCTAAAGCTCCAGTGAAAGGAGGAAGGAAGACAACAGCAGGTATTCAGGTCATCTAAATTAAATAATGGCAAATTACTACGTTTCAGGTTTTTGCATTGTGTTTGGCAGTGGAGAGTGGAAATTACATTAACTTTTGCCTATTTTTGCAGTGTTAAAGAGGCCACAGTCTCCTGTGTCTGAGGTGGTTTTCCAACAAACAGTGACCGTCATCCCTCCAGATGCTCTTCACACAATTCCTTCTGCTCCCCTGTCTGCACAACTCACAGCCAAAGTCAGTACCTCTCAAACCACATGCACTTGCACTTTTAACTTGTGTCTCAGTAGTATCATAAGTTTCTTGCACCAAGTGATCTCGGACGATATTACTCATTGTACACCTGGTAATTACAGTTATTTGATCGGAACATCCTATTTTTTTCCTGAATTTCACAAAGCATGTGATAAAATGCTAATTAAATAAGAATAACAGGTCTCATTGGCACCAGTAGTGTGGTGGGAAGCACTTTAGCTGACTCAAGTTTGAGGGTGTACTCTCACTAGGCACGGTTGCCTTGAACCGAGCCTGAGCGCGATTATCCCCACTCCCCCACTGGCCTGCACTCACACTTGCACTAAACATTCCAAGCCGGAGCACGTTTACATCATGTATGAGATAACGGAGAAAACCACTTTCGCTAATATTCTGCCAAATAATTAATAATAATAAATTTATAATTTATGACGTGCATTGATTTTCACTTGTATGTATCAGAAAATATTACGGAGGCAGCTGACGTTAATGAAATAATTTGCAGATTTACTCGCAAACTACATTTCCTGTTCATCAATAAGGTAAGAACCAGAGCCATTATAAACCTAAATATAGAATGAGCTTTAGAATGAGCTTTATTGTCAGGTATGTTTTCACATACGAGGAATTTGTTTTCATGACAGAAGCTTCCGCAGTGCAACAGAATGACAGAGACAGAACAAAAGCACAGTACCATCTCGTGGACTTTTCCAATTCCATTACCCACTTTCTGTCAAATCTCTGTAATGTTCTTTAGGAATAAAGGCAAATAACGGGTCTCATTCACTATCCATGCATACTCACAAATTTGTGCCGTCACAAACAAATCATTCTTTAATCAATAACTTTTGTAATAAAATGTATTATAAATTAACAAAAAATGTAGAGACAGAGACAGTTGAAACCACCCATAAGCTAAAATTACATGCTCCTGTGAACTTGTAAACATGTTCACATAAAATTGTATATACTGATAAATAGTGGCGCAACGGATCACAATACTCACGGTTCGGATCATATTATGGATTTTGAGTCACAGATCAGATCAGCAAAAAAAATTGTGAAAGCTTATTTTAAGTACTATACCACAGCAAAAAATACTATCTTAACTAATAAAGTCAGTAAAAAACAAGAACAATTACACACATTAGATGATTACAACATAACAGTTACAAATAAAGTCAGTAAAGTAGTATTCAGGTGCAGATATGTAATAATTAAGTGTAAATTTACACAATAGTGCTCACCGCACAAGTTAAATACAGAGTAATCTCTGTTAAAGCTGTGGTGTTATTTGATTAGCAGACAGAAGCCGGTATTTATTGGCTGCTGTCTCTAAGACCAAACGCACCCACCTAATACTGACACACATCCGGTTTCTTTCGCAGCTGTTTATGTTCATTTAAGACATAACCGGCTGTGTTTACTACAGTACTTGCCAAAACGGGTATTTTAACATAACTTTGTGTTTGTGACAAAGGAATCAATTTGCTGTTCATGTGGTGTCTCTCTCTCTGCGTGTGCGCGCTTCCGGTGTTTGCGGTCTATGCGGCTGAGCGCATAGAAAACAGCGCCTGAGTTAAAATTGCTTGAATGTGTAAATTGGCAAGACAAAACATGTGCAAATGATAAACTTTCACTCTATGATGGTTAAACTTAACGGTTAATAAGCGAATCACATGCGTGCCGAACCGTGGGGCCTGGTCCATACGGATCACGGATCATCTACGATCCGTTGCACCCTACTGATAAGCAACAAGTACCTGAATTCTAGATCTCCATAAGAGGTGATTGTGCATAATAAAATTGTTTGGGCAAAAAAATGTTCTCCTGTGTGTATGAATGCAAGTAATTCATGCAAATATTAAAGGGGTCATATGATGCGATTTAAATTTTTCCTTTCTCTTTGGGGTGTTACAAGCTCTTGGTGCATAAAGAAGATCTGTAAAGTTGCAGACACTAAAGTCTCAAATCCAAAGAGATATTCTTAATAAAAGTTAAGAGTCAGCCACGCCTACCTAAAACAGCTCGTTCTAACACGCCCCCACATGTCTACGTCACGATGTGGAAAGATTTGCATAACACCGCCCAAATGTTCACGCAAAGAAAGAAGGCGTAACTTTTATTCTCGCTCTAGTATTGTTGTTGCCGCCACCGCCATGTTGTGAAGGCGCTGTGTGTTTCGTTGCGAAAGCGAAACTACTTTGTTTGGCCTTCCAAAAGAGGACAATATCCGCTTCGTCATGCCTGGAGCTGATCCGTGCTGGTCGCTGAGGAAATACATCAACTTTGCGCTGCGAAGTCCAGCCTGGGGTCGTCGCATGTGGTTGCCGCAAGCCCGCCGTCCGCTGCTCAGGCCGGCCTCATTTTTTGCAACATCATATGACCCCTTTAATAAATGAGACCCAGTGTTTGGCAAGGATTAATTGGCGTAGTTTTGCCTCTTTGACACGGATGAGGGCTGCTTGGTTGTTTCGTACTGAATTATGGAATTATGGAATTCTAAAGGTGGAATAGTACAGGAAAAACACAGATTGCATATTTTTTATTTAACTGTAATCTGCATGTACGCATGTACCCAGTTGAAAAATGGTGTGAAAAGAAAAGCAGACACTACTACCCCTTCTGCCTCTTCCATCTCCAGCTATGAGTCGTCCTCTTGTGTAACAGAACCAAAAGTCCTTAAGTTATTCTCCAGGCGAGGCAGCGGCCGACCCATCAAACCTCCCTGTAAAGACCTTCCTGAGTCACCACCACAACATCAGGTGGGCAGAAGGACCAAACTCTCAGAGAGACTCAAATACTGCAATGCAATCCTGAAAGAGATGTTTGCCAAAAAGCATTCTGCTTATGCCTGGCCCTTTTATAAGCCTGTGGATGCTAAGGCACTGGGCCTTCTTGATTATCATGAAATCATTTACCAACCTATGGATATGAGTACCATCAAAGTGAGTACCATGGTTGTGTTAATATTACTGGATAAACGTTGCTCACTGTTATTGTTTGCTATGTAATGGGCATATTTTTTTTTCTAACAGAAAAAGATGGAAGCTCGTGAGTACACCGATGCATTGCAATTTGCTGCAGATATGCGGCTCATGTTCTCAAACTGCTACAAATACAATCCACCCGGCCATGAGGTAGTGGCCATGGCAAGAAAACTTCAGGTGTGTCTTTAGGTGGTTTGATCATCTTTTTAAAATCCATTGTTTGTCTTATTTTCCTATGGGTAAATGCAGAATATTAAAATTTTTTACCCAGGATGTTTTTGAGTTTCGCTTCTCCAAGATTCCTGACGAGCCGAGGAATTCAGCACCATCCTCTAGTCAGAACAGAGTAAGGAAGGAGAGAGCACACAGTCCGTCCAGCTCTGAGAGCAGTGACAGCGAATCATCATCATCTCCATCAGAAAACTCCTCAGACACAGAAGATCACTAAAGTCTCAAATCCAAAGAGATATTCTTAATAAAAGTTAAGAGTCAGCCACGCCTACCTAAAACAGCTCGTTCTAACACGCCCCCACATGTCTACGTCACGATGTGGAAAGATTTGCATAACACCGCCCAAATGTTCACGCAAAGAAAGAAGGCGTAACTTTTATTCTCGCTCTAGTATTGTTGTTGCCGCCACCGCCATGTTGTGAAGGCGCTGTGTGTTTCGTTGCGAAAGCGAAACTACTTTGTTTGGCCTTCCAAAAGAGGACAATATCCGCTTCGTCATGCCTGGAGCTGATCCGTGCTGGTCGCTGAGGAAATACATCAACTTTGCGCTGCGAAGTCCAGCCTGGGGTCGTCGCATGTGGTTGCCGCAAGCCCGCCGTCCGCTGCTCAGGCCGGCCTCATTTTTTGCAACATCATATGACCCCTTTAATAAATGAGACCCAGTGTTTGGCAAGGATTAATTGGCGTAGTTTTGCCTCTTTGACACGGATGAGGGCTGCTTGGTTGTTTCGTACTGAATTATGGAAATAGTATTTTCTAAAGGTGGAATAGTACAGGAAAAACACAGATTGCATATTTTTTATTTAACTGTAATCTGCATGTACCTTGTCTTTCAGTTGAAAAATGGTGTGAAAAGAAAAGCAGACACTACTACCCCTTCTGCCTCTTCCATCTCCAGCTATGAGTCGTCCTCTTGTGTAACAGAACCAAAAGTCCTTAAGTTATTCTCCAGGCGAGGCAGCGGCCGACCCATCAAACCTCCCTGTAAAGACCTTCCTGAATCACCACCACAGCATCAGGTGGGCAGAAGGAACAAACTCTCAGAGAGACTCAAATACTGCAATGCCATCCTGAAAGAGATGTTTGCCAAAAAGCATTCTGCTTACGCCTGGCCCTTTTATAAGCCTGTGGATGCAAAGGGACTGGGCCTTCTTGATTATCATGAAATCATTCACCAACCTATGGATATGAGTACCATCAAAGTGAGTACCATGGTTGTGTTAATATTACTGGATAAACGTTGCTCACTGTTATTGTTTGCTATGTAATGGGCATATTTTTTTTTCTAACAGAAAAAGATGGAAGCTCGTGAGTACACCGATGCATTGCAATTTGCTGCAGATATGCGGCTCATGTTCTCAAACTGCTACAAATACAATCCACCTGGTCATGAGGTAGTGACCATGGCAAGGAAACTTCAGGTGTGTTTTTATGTGGTTTGATCGTCTTTTAAAATCCATTGTTTGTCTTTTTTTTTTTTCTTTTTTTTTTTTTAAATAAATACAATACTTGCATATTGCTCTCAGAAAATTCAGTCTTTCCTGACAGGGTTAAAGGGGACATAACACACACACAGTTTTGCCAATCTCGTGTTAATCTTGAGTACCTATATAGTAGTATTGCATCCTTCATACCGCCGAAGAGTCTTTAGTTTTATCAAATTTATAAAAGAAAGATTCAGCTTTACGATTGTCTGCAAAAACAGCCGAGCTCCTGGAGGTGTGCCGTCGGCAGAGCTAAAGATTGACAACAAAACACAGAAATTTGATAAAGTTTTACTCGCCGCCTGCAGTTTCGACTCATGACTGGGATATTTTATCGCTGGGACTGCTCCATTTTTCTGTATCAAACAATTTGCAAATCCAGCGTCGAACTGGGCCTTGTTTATAAAATGTTTGTTTCCGATATGTTGGGAACAAACAAACACACGTGCAAAACTCTGTTGCTGTCCCGAAAATAAAAATAACTGCATCCACTGTTCCCTTAACGCTGGGTTCTTTGGGAAGCTAAAAAAGGTTATCTTTCCCTCACATCCAAAAGCACACTTCTTTGGAGACATACTTCTGGAGCAAGTCCAGTGCAGCTCTGCCGACGACTTCTGTAACCCGAATGAAGCACATGGATGGGTGCGCTCTTGCACTCGCTGTAGTCGATGTGTGCGCGCTCTTCTGGGAGAAGTGCCCATACAAGGAATTCCACCCTTCATGACGTCATGAAGGGTCATGCTCTCAAAAAAACTTTCCAAAACTTGTTTGAACCCGCAAGGAGTGTTTTTGGTGCAGACGTCATGCGTCCAAATAATTTTTTGAAACTTTGGCCATGTTTAGCATGAGAATCCAACACTTTAACAGTGTAAATAACTCCATGTTAAAGTTTTTATTTTATTTTTTTTCGCCCAGGATGTTTTTGAGTTTCGGTTCTCCAAGATTCCTGACGAGCCGAGGAATTCAGCTCCAGCCTCTAGTCAGAACAGAGTAAGGAAGGAGAGAACACACAGTCCGTCCAGCTCTGAGAGCAGTGACAGCGAATCATCATCTCCATCTGAAAAGTCCTCCGACACAGAAGAGGATGAAGAGGAGAGAACGCAAAGGCTCGCCAGCCTGGAGGAACAGGTAAGACTTACATATAGACGTTTGAGTCCCTTCACGGATACACACATCCTCTGTTCCAACACCGTCACAACACCATAGTCACACCCAATGTGGTCACACTGGCTGGCTCCTTCAGCAAATTCTATGGCATTATTGCATGTAATCTTTGTAGCGAAAATAATTCCAGTATGTTCTTTGCCAAGAAGCAAGAGAGGTCTCATTTATTAATATAATTAGGAGGACATTTAAGTCTGCACAATTGCAAATTGATTTGTACTTGTGTATGTTGTGCTGTAAGCTTAAAGGGTACATGACACACATTTTTGCCAATCTCACGTTAATCTTGAGTATTACCGTATTGACTCGAATATAAGACAGTTTTTTTTCTTGGAAATACATCTGAAAAAACGCATTCAGGGTCTAGACTTTGACATGTCAATAATACACCCACAACAATAGGTGGCGCCAAATGAGTCGTGACTGTCATGTTAGCCTGATGGGACCAAACTCACTTTGTGATTTTAAAACGTAAGACAGTACCCAGATTTGAAGACTACAGTAAGATTTAACTTCTACTGTTCATAAGATTTTGGTAAAAAAAGTTTTTTTTTTTATGGTATATCAAAAAGTGTATATTTTATAAATGTGATTGTTGGTACATTTGACCAGTTTTTACCATACTTTCGAAACAAAAATTAAAATAGGAAAAATATGCAATATGAAAATAGTTGAAGACAAAATGTGTTTTACTGAGAAAAAACAAGATTTGGTTTTTAAAAAACCTTTTTCCAAAAGGTACATCTGGAAAAGGGGGGGTCGTCTTATAATCAGGGTCGTCTTATATTCGGGCCAATACGGTACATAGTAGTATAGTAGTATTGCATCCTTCATATCTCCGAAGAGTCTTTAGTTTTATCAGATTTATAAAAGAAAGATACAGTTTTACGATTCTCTCCGAAAACAGCCAAGCTCCTGGAGGTGTGCCATGGGCGGAGCTAAAGATTGACAACAAAACACAGAAATTAGATGCAGTTTTACTCACCGCCTTCGATTTCAGCTCATAACCACAATATTTTATTGCTGGGACTGCTTTATCTTTCAGTATCAAACAGTCTCCACATCCAGCGAACAGGGCCTTGTTTATAAAACATTTGTCACCGAAATGACCGGAACAAACAAACACACGTGCCAGAAAAACAAACTGCATCCACTGTTCCCTTAACACTGGGTTCTTTGGGAAGCTGAAAAAGGTCATCTTTCCCTCACATCCAAAAACACACTTCTTTGGAGACATTCTTCTGGAACAAGTCCTGTGCAGTGCTGCCGACGACTTCTGTAACCCAAATGAAGCACATATTGATGGGTGCGCTCTTGCTCTCGCTGTGGTCGATGTGTGCTCGCTCTTCCAGGAGAAGTGCCCATACAAGGAATTCCGATCTTCGTGACGTCATGAAGGGCCATGCTCGAACAAAAGTTTCCTAAACTTATTCAAACCCCGGAAGGAGTGTATTTGGCACAGAAATACCCCGTCATACGTCCAAATCGTGTTTTAAAACTTTGGCCATGTTTAGCATGAGAATCCAACTCTTTAACAGTGTAAATAACTCTGAATAAATGGAATAGCATTAAGCCCCCCCTTTAATAGCTGTTGTGCTTAAGCGTAATATGGTTTGACATTAACATGTTGCCAATGAGTGCATTCAAAATCAGCCTGCTGTGAGGGTTTGGATGCTGCCCATTTGTACAGTAGGCAGTGAAAATTGTTTGTTAAGTTTTTAACTATAGATGGACAGTATTCATATATGAACTCTTATATAATGTAATTTCTGTCTTTACTCACCAGCTGAAAGCAGTACGAGAGCAGCTCCAGTTACTGACCCAAACACCTCTCCTGAAACCAAAGAAAAGGGAAAAGTCCAAGAAGAAAAGGAAGAAAGAGAGCGAGTCCAGTAAACAAAAAGGTGAAGAAATTAAGAAACCGGCAAAAATGCAGAAGAGGTCCAACAGCAAGTCGGCAGGGTAAGAAAATGTGTGGAGCGTGTGGGCTCTCATCATCCCCATTTCTACCCTAAGAATAATGTATAGATCTTTATGCTAAGACAAATTCTCAAAGAAATTAAAATTTACATTGACTTTGTTCTCAGGTGGAAGGAGAGCAGAGCATATGACTCTGAGGAAGAGATGAATGCTTTACCCATGTCTTATGAGGAGAAACGGCAGCTGAGTCTAGACATTAACAAGCTTCCTGGAGACAAGCTTGGCAAAGTAGTGAATATCATCAAAGCCAGAGAACCCTTGCTCAGGGACACAGACCCTGAGGAGATCGAGATCGACTTTGAGACTCTCAAGCCATCAACCCTTCGAGCTCTTGAGTGTTATGTTGTCGCTTGCCTCCAAAAGAAACTGAAAGAAACTGACAGTGAGTACTGTTCTGTCAATATTAACAGCTTTTTTTATGCTGGGACACATTATATATGAAGTATGTAAATAAAATTATGTGAGAAGTAGTACTAAAAGCCTTTCACTCTGGGTCTAATACAACTAAATGGCATGCAAATCGAAAGTATTTGCATGTTTTTGACACTGCAACTACATATGCCAAATCAGGCGACACTTTTCATCATTATCTGAAAAAAATGTAATGCCCACAGATTATAGCAGTACAGTGTTTTCGCTTCAGTATGAAGGCGTTCATAAATGTTTTTTTTTTTAACCATCTATATGCTTCATCTAAAAGCATACCTGCAAACTCACAAGAGGTCAAAAAGGAATATGACCCTTGTAGGGGGGTCTTCCCCCTCAGAAGAAAATTTAAGAATTTAAGATGTAAATAAAGCGTTCTGGTGCACTCTGACAACAAAAAGGAAAAAGACAACAAATGCTTCAAGTAAAAAAGCACATGTATACCACAAACTTTTTGGACAGTGCAACTCTGTTGTCATCGGTGTTCATACTTCTCTTTGTGAGCAGTGGAGTAATTTATTTTTGCAAATTTTATGTTCACATTAGAGTGCATACTATCAGCAAACTCCATCTTTTCACTTCAGAGAAAACAGAAGCTGCATCTAAAGTGGCATTAGATGTATTTACACAGAATGTTTAAAGGGGTCATATGATGTTGCTAAAAAGAACATTATTTGGTGTAATGAAAGGTTTATGCGGTTTAAGGTAAAAAAAAAAACACATTATTTTCCACATACTGTATATTATTGTTTCTCCTCTATGCCCCGCCTTTCTGAAACGCATCGATTTTTACAAAACTCATCGGTCTGAAAAGCGAGGTGTGCTGTGATTTGGCCAGCTATCCAGTGTGTTGTGATTGGCCGAATACCTCAAGCGTGTGATGGAAATGTTACGCCCCTTACCGTACTGTGATGCTGTGTCCTGGCGCGATGAGACAAAACCAATAAAACCCATTATAAAGAGGCATTTGTTGCATCCAGTGGGGGGATTATAATGACTTATATTGTCTTTTTATGCGTTGCATTGCATTGCGCCGTGTAAACATAAAACCGTTTGAAATATGGATATTTTTCTTACAAAAACGCATGGATTCACTACAGAAGGCCTTTATGCACCCCCCGGAGCCGTGTGAAGCACGTTTTATTATGAATGCGCGTGCTTTATTTGACGACTTGTGGACTGTTCAACTGCAACACCCACTTACTGCAATGATAGAGTTTGGAATAGCAAATGGCAATTTTTAATATAACTCCGACTGGATTCGTCTGAAAGAAGAAAGTCATACACCTAGGCAGTGTTGGGGAAAGTTACTTTTAAAAGTAATGCATTACAATATTGCATTAATCCATAAAGTAACCAATTACGTTACTCAGTTGCTTTTTATGGAAAGTAATGCGTTATGTTACTTTTGCTTTAATTTTTAAGTCTGGACAGGGCTTGCTTGTTTGTTTTTAAACATAAAAAAAAGTTATATTTTTGGCAAATATAAAAGCCTTTTCACACCAAAAGTGAAATGAATAAGCCTCAGGCTGACAGTAGAATGCAGAAGAAGAAATTTCAACACACTTCAATAAAAAAAGACACAAATGTTTGTCTAGAGTATTTAACTTGCGTTACTTATTTGAAAAAGTAACTCGGATATTCTCTTGTAAATTAAAAAGTAATGCGTTACTTTACTAGTTACTTGAAAAAAGTAATGATTACGTAACTCGCGTTACTTGTAATGCGTTAGCCCCAACACTGCACCTAGGATGCTTCGAGGATGAGTAAAATGCAGGCTAATTTTCATTTTTGGGTGATCTAACACTAACTTTTATAAAGAATATCTCTTTGGGTTTGAGACTTTAGTCTTTGCAACTTTAGGGATCTTATCTATTCACGAACAGCTTGTAACACTCCAAAGAGAAAGGAAAACTTGAAATCGCATCATATGACCCCTTTAATGAAACTTGGGTGCCATAAATGCATTTACACCACAAAATTTCAAATGCATAAATAATTTTATAAGATTTAATGTTTTAAATATTTTTTAACGTACAAGTTAAAAAATGCAATACTTTTAAATATGAAACCAAACCACCAGTAGATGAAGGTAAATAAGAGAGTCATTAGTCAAATGGCTGATTCATTCAAAAAAGAGGCACGTGACTACTATCTTTATAAATGGATTACTGAATCATTGACTCACTTGATTCGTTCAAAAACGTGGATTCATTCAGTATCGAGTCTCGAAACACCGCTGTGTTGCTCGGATACTCAAAACTGTTCTGTTGTGGCTTTGATTGAAACTTCGTCAGTGAACTTGAGCAAAAACAGTCAATATTGTATTACAAGTTGCAAACTTTGTGTCTGTTTAACTCCCAATGAAGAACTCCCACGCCGACAATGTTTACATGCGGATGTGTGCCGTCAAAATGGACCGGCTGTGAGATGAGGTGTGTTCGATTTGAAGCAGCAATGCGCAGACCGATCAGACATCAAAGTACCGCGAGAGCGATTTGAACGCATGAGGAGCCATCTGCTCTCTGTAGCTCTTGCGGTGCTTTGATGTCATACAGCGATCGGTCTGCGCATTGCTGCTTCAAGTCGAACCGAGAAACGGACTTTGTTTGAACACACTCCTGTCTACGAGCTTGCAATTCCTCTCTCTCCGCCCAGACCCATCCCCCCCAAAAAAACTCTTTGCATCTAGAAGATTCACATAAATGACATATTTTGATTCAAAACGGCGAATTTCGCCGAAAAGCGACTAGTTTGCAGATATGAAAGGTCATATGTATTTAAGGTTTATTTATTATTATTATTATTTATTTTTTTATTTTTTTTAGAACTTCATGATTAATTAGTGCTTAAATTGGCTTTTTTCTAAACAAAATAGATGCATACTCTACAACTCTCTCAAAACAAAGTGTGTAATAGGAGACATTTTTATCTAATATTTATGGGTGATCTTTTTACATTATTAGAAAAGAAGCTCCAGAAGAAGTCTAAAATCAAGGAAATGGACAAAGAGCTACAACACACGAATGAAGAATCAAATGATAAAAAGGCCAAAAGTAAGTATATGCATTTATTTGTTCATTCCTTTTTATGTAATCATATAAATGCAGTATAAACCTGTATGTTTCCCCTTCTGTGTGTAGTTGAAGCTTTAGGGGAGTTTAAAGATGCGAGCCATCCGTCTTGTTTGAGTGATAGCAGCAGCAGCAGCAGCTCGTCCAGCTCCGACAACAGTTGTAGTGACTCTAGCTCCTCTGATAGCTGTGACTCTGATTCAGGTTAGCGGCTTCACACCTACCCACCAACCCTTTTATTCACTCACTGTCTCTCAGGCCAGTCTGTTCCCCCTGCTATCTATCTGGCCACTGATGCAGAAAACAAACCAAAAATTGTAAAGCTTACTCGGACACATCCCCAGCATTATAAACGTTCACTTATTTCACCTGAACATCGACTGGACAACAAATACTTGAAACGTTACACAGTTCAACTTATTATTTTATTTTATTTTTTTCAATAAAAAAATAAATGGTGTATGTTCCTTTTTTGTGTTCACTACACTTGTCCTTTGTCACTTTTGTAATATAAAGAAAATTTTGCACTTTTGGCTCCAAATTAGTAAAATATGTCATCTCTTTCTCTCTCACACTCTTTCTGTAGTTTTTGTTGGATGCTATTATTTATTTGTTTTCCAATGTTTGATATTTTGTTCTTGTTTTATCACAATCACTTTTTTATGTTGTTGCTGTAGTTTAAGACAAGTTTAAGACCAGCTGGCTCTTGGTGTGGGGTTTTCCTGGTTTCATACACCCTCAGCACTTTCAAGTTAGAAAATAGTGGTAAGGGCTCTGAAGAAATGCCGGTTTCCAATATGGACTTTCACCAAACATAACTGAGAGCATTTTATGTGTCATATGCTATTGTCCCTGTTAAGAGTTACAGCTGGTCTGTTTTAAACTGCTGCTTTGAATCATTACTATGTGGTTCCCCTGTTGCATTACCTTGTAATACTTGTGTTCATGCAGAGATGTATATGTAATCATAATCTACAATAGATTGTAAAAACATACATCGATATGTTGTATGTGAGGGTACTTGGATTGTAAACTATAGTTGGAACATGGAAGGTAGGACCAAAACAAGCTCAGTGTTTCCCCTGCCATTATATTAGGGCCCCCCCCCTCCCCCCTTAAATGTCAAATTAATTTTATTTAATTATATTTTCTCTATAGCGCCAGGACACAACAGAAGTCATTTAAAGTTACCGTTCCTATAGAAAGGGTCTATACCTTGGTCTTTTATTAAACAAACTAAATAGCCTTATGTTATTTATCTTATTTACACGACGGCATGTCATTTCGGTCTCTACGTTATGGTCGCACTCTCTGTATCACGCAGTTCCGCCCTGATGCGCATGCACGCGCACACACACACACACACACACACAAAGCCGCAAAACGACTATTTAAATATGAATTCTGCGTGTCTGTGTTAATGCATGGCGCAGACGTGCAGTTTTGTATACTAGTATTGAAGCGCGCGTGACCCCAAAAGCCGTAAACCTAGGGGAAACACTGAAGCTGTCATAAGAGGCAACCACTTGTCCTGCTTAAAGGGATCATATGATGTTGCTAAAAAGAACATTTATTTGGTGTAATGAAATGTTAACGCGGTTTAAGGTTCAAAAAACACATTATTTTCTACATACTGTGCTATTGTTTCTCCTCTATGCCCCGCCTTTCTGAAATGCGTCGATTTTTACAAAGCTCATCGGTCTGAAAAAGCGAGGTGTGCTGTTATTGGCCAGCTATCCAGTGCATTGTGATTGGCCGAATACCTCAAGCGTGTGACTGAAATGTTACACTCCTTACCATATTGTGATGATGCCCTGTCAGGCCAGAGCGATGATTCAAAAACATAACCCATTATAAACAAGGCATTCGTTGCCTCCAGTGGGGACATAATTATGGATTATAGTGACTTATACTGTCTTTTTACATCGCACCGCGTAAACACAAAACCATGTCTGCATTTGTGATCGGAGAAATTACAAACAACAAGCACTACTCTACACTGCCCAAAAAACTTGCTTTAAATATAAAAAAACGTGCTTACAGTCTGTGAGTCAGAACAGCCGGCATTGTTGTCTACTCTCCGTAAAATGTGCTGCACACATCTGAATATTTGGGTTGAACTGTTCTGGAACAGTGTTGTAAATGCAACTTAACCACTGTTTGGTCTTCCAAAAATGGACACGACTAGAAATCAAAGTAGTTTCGCTTTGACGAAACACAGTGTCACACGGCGGCCTAGAGTGAGCAGAGCCCGGGGAAAAAAAGTGAGGAATGGCCGGAGGGCTAGAGTGAGCAGAGGCGGCGGATTCGACGAAGGAGGCTTGCGGCAACCACATGTGAAGACCCCGGGCTGGACTCCAATTCGTCCACGGTGAAAGCCGATCCAGCAATCCACAGCGCAAAGTTGTAGTATTTCCTCAGCAACCAGCACGGATCAGCTCTAGGCATGACGAAGCAGATATAGTCCTCTTTTTGGAAGGCCAAACAAAGTAGTTTCGCTTTCACAACGAATCACACAGTACCTTCACGACATGGCGGCGGCAGCAACAACAATACTACAGCGAGAATAAAAGTTACACCTTTCTTTGCGTGAACATTTGGGCGGCGTTATGCGAATCTTTCCACATAGTGATGTTGGTATGTGGGGGCGTGTTAGAACGAGCCGTTTAAGGTAGGCGTGGTTGACTCTTAACTTTTATAAAGAATATCTCTTTGGATTTGAGACTTTAGTCTTTGCAACTTTACAGATCTTCTTTATGCACCAAGAGCTTGTAACACTCCAAAGAGAAAGGAAAAATTGAAATCGCATCATATGACCCCTTTAAGGTCTGTTGCATATTTTGAAGATGTTTCAATTTTATTTACCTAAACGGGTATAAAGCTTAACACCCAGAGATTTAAATAAAACACATTTTCATAGACAACTGTTGTATCACAAAACACTTTCACAAGCTGTGCACACTTTACTTAAGAAAAAAAATTGACCACTTCAAATTAAACTTGATATTTTTTTATTTTTGTATTTAGTGGTTGTGACACTCAATAGTACTTAAATTGCATACAGTTTATCTGAACTCCAGTAATAAAATATAAACTGAGTAAATCAGCAGGAATGCCCATGGGATGGGATTGGCCTTTCTCGCAGTCATGACTGAAGTGAAATGACCTCAGTGTGCATTGTGTGTGTCTTACAGACCAGAAAGCTAAGAGGAAGCAAAGCAAAGCCCCTGGCCATGCCCACAAAAATAAAAACAAGGTAAAAAAGCACACAAGCCAATAAGAGACAGCCAATATTAAATGGCCTACTTTAATATTTGGTACATGGAGCATTTCACTTCATGTAGTGCCAGATTTTTCATGTGTGAAACATTGCCCCCTTGTCCCCCTCCCCAAACAGGCATCGCGGCAGGCCGTTGCTGAGGTAAAGGATTCTTCTTCTGCCTCAGTCGTGACGTGCCAGTCTCGTCCAGCGTCACTAGTCTCAGAGGAAGACTCCAAAGACATGTTTGCGTCACAACAAGCAAAGCATCCTGCAGAGGACATCATCATGGCAATCCCAGGTTAGGCTCAGTGCCATTGTTCATACTTCTGTTCACACTGATGTGTTATTTGTGGTCGCATCATGTACAAAACAAATGAAATTACCTCCAAAAATAAAAATGATTTATTTTATTCCTCATCTAAATCTAAAACTGCATTTGGAGACCAGTTAGTTGTCGGCAGCTTTGATTCATCACTTTAATGCTTTTCTGTCCATCCCTCTGCCCTCCTTCCACAACAGCATTACACAGCCGACTGCCGCCTCAGCCATCCAGACCTAGTGACAAAGCTGCTCCGCTACCTCGTAAAACCTGGACTGCCCCTTTACCACTCAACCTACCTCCAGACCAGGCCACCAGTCCTTTATGTAACACTTCTGCCTCATCCCCCCGTAATGACAACACAGCCACCTCACCCAAATGTTCCCACGTGTCGATCCCCCCACACCCACCCACTTCACTCCTTTCAGACCCGTTGTTCCCCCGTAGTCCCTTGCTCGATCCTCTTGACCCGCAGGTCTCTCGGGTTGGCCCCCCATCGCCTGCTGCCGCAGAAAAGCCTCCATATAAGTCTGAGCAGGAAGGTAAGAGGTCGGCCTTGATGTGTCAATACGCCCGCCCGCTGATCTCCGTTCCTCGCTCGCTCCCCTCGCTGTGTTACCGTTGTGCATCTGCAACTTTCCCCTTCCATTGTGGGTTAGCATTGTATGTTCATCATAACTGGTGGTTTGTTTAGTTTTGTCATCAGTATAGTTCTCTTCCCAGCTGCATGTCATTGCTGTCTCTCACTTACAGCGCCGCTTTAATGTATGTGTAAAACAGAATATCATTCAAGGTAAACTCCATCTCTCTCTTTTTCTCCTCAATCTTGCAGGCGTCCCTCCTCTTCTGTCACCTCTGACCTCACCTCCTGCAGCCATGCCCGTCATAGGATGTCAGCCTACCTCCAGCTCTCAGTTTGAGGTAATTTATATTTCTGCTCAACTTGTCTTCATATGGAGAAAAACTCTTTTGCATAGTTTAATCATTTAGTCTGAGTAAGTTGTTGTCATTTAAAAGGGATTTTATAATAGTTTGTTGCAAATGTGTTTTTTTTTATATATATATATATATATATATAAGTACACTACACAACGCAAGGCTGGGATATACAGTGGGGAAAAAAAGTATTTAGTCAGCCACCAATTATTTTACCGAGGAATTTACCAATTAATTCTTTAAAAATCCTACAATGGGATTTTCTGGATTTTCTTTTCTCATTTTGTCTTTCATAGTTGAGGTATACCTATGATGAAAATTACAGGCCTCTCTCATCTTTTTAAGTGGGAGAACTTGCACAATTGGTGGCTGACTAAATACTTTTTTGCCCCACTGTACTACACGACTTTTAAAATCTGAACAGATTTTAAAATGCAAGGCATCACTCACTGACTTTGTAAATAATCACAGAGGAAAAACTAGCCATCAGATTCATACACTGAACAACTGAGGATCGTACACTACCAGACTTTAAAGTTGTTCTGATCACAACAAGCTCATGCAGAAACCTGCGCCTTGTTGCTGGGAGACGCATGACAAATGAAAACAATGTGTTCCAAAATTTGGCTCAAAATATCAAACATGTTTTGATTCATAGTCTGAAGCCAAAACAAATCTGTTTCTGTGACCGTCATACACTACACTGTTTTCTATGAAATCTGTTAACTCAAATCTGCAGACTGGCTCTGACATTTGGCAACTAGCATTGACTTCTCCAGACTTTAAATTGGGGTCAAAATCGGGACAAAGGTCATGAAGTTTATTCCAGACTTTATTGTTGCTGTGGAGAAAGAGGAACGAGAGAGCTCGTAATCTGCTGCAGATAGAAACTGGTCGAGAGAAATGATTCATTTAGAAACAAAGCAAGTGCCTGTCTTTATGAATGGATCATTGAATCATTGACTCAAATGATTCATTCAAAATGATTTAGTCAGGAAAGAAACACAGCAGTGTTGCTCTGATCTCCAGCTTTGTGTGGAACTATTGTCATTGGAGAAAGAGAAAAAAAAAAAAAGTGTCTAAACTCACCCAGTGTTAACTTCCTGTTTGTTAAACTCTTGTATAAAATTAATATGACATTTGTGTGTAAAAAGGATGTTCAGTAAAGTAACAGCGTTTTTTTACCCAGATGGATGATGTTTGACCAGGTTGTTGTTGGTGACACACAAATGACTTTTTGTACTTGCTTTCTCTCTGCAGCAATGTAGATTGTTGTCACCTCTGCATGAGAGTCCATTAACCAACATGAGGGATGAGCAAAGCTGCCCGGAGACACTGGAAGAGCCCTCTGTTCAGCTGCACAAAATGCATGGTCAATATTTCTCCCACCGTTTTCCACCAGAGTACTTTCCTTTTTTCTCAGTGGTTTCTTGAAATGGGGTCTTTCACATTTTCTAGGAGCCAAGGACGATGGCAGTGAACTATGCAAGCCCATTCAAGATACCAAATCCAACCTGCCTAAAAAGGTACCTATGCTTTATATGGGTACTAAATGAAAAATGCACTCTTTGGTGTTCTCTCCGATAACCTGGACCTGTTTGTGTGTTAAAGGATATTGTCCTAAAGCATGCAGACTCCTGGACAAGCCTGGGTAAGATGGCTACTCAAACTCCTTGCCCAATCAAATCATCCAAGGAAAGTTTCCAGCAGTTTCGCAAAGTAGCCATGGAGAAAGAGGAACGAGAGAGAGCTCGTAAACTGCAGATTGAAGCTGGTCGAGAGAAGAGCAACTCCAACAAAAGCGGGTATAAACAGAATCGTAGTTTCAAGGCAACAGTAAATAATTGGAGGAGTTTCAATCTCTGATTGACGAGATTCCAGCTGACCACAACTTCCTATGGCTGTTGCAAATGCATTCTAAATTGTATTTCTATTATTAATTTACACTCATATCCCCCTGTGAGGATTATATGACTGTTCTTGCTGATCTAGCTAACAGTGTGGCCTTTTAATGATTTCTAGTCTGACGCAGCAGCTCCAGAAAACCGAGCTGGACTGCCCGCCTTCAAAGCCAGAAGTGGAGTCAGCAGAGCTGCTCCTGATGGCGGCCATCTTGGATACCCCCAAAGCCCCTGAGCCCTGCTCTCTTCCACAGAGCTCTGTAGACCGAGAACGAGAGATGGCTCGCAAGAGAGAGCAGGAGCGCCGTAGGAGAGAGGCTGTGAGTGTACTGCACACTAAGCATTTTAGAATGTAAATAAAAAATGTTAGTATTTAAAGGTGGGGTAAGTGATTTCTGGTAGCCAATGTTGATATTTCAAATCACCAAAACAAACACGCCCCTACCCCAAAAGGGTCTCGCCCCTATTTTGATAGCTCCGCCCCACACATGTACGCAACCCAGGCAAAGATTAGTTCTGTGAAACAAAGCAAAACCAATGTTACACCGTGTCTACACCGGATGCGAACGGCGCGACAAAATACTGTAGAACTCATTATAATCAGTGATGCTGTCTACACTGGATGCGGCGCGGCACGACAAATCCCCGACAGAAAACAGAACAAATTTCAAATGATTTTCAACGGTCGCTTTGTCGCGTCCAGTGTAGACAGACTTTAGCTGTTGCGGCGCGGCAACTGTAGTGTCCGATGTATACACTGTGTTGCTCACCTGTCTAGAAGAAACAAAGCAACCTCGGCGTCCGATCACAGGCCTTCTGCTCCTTGAGTTCTCTCCAGCGCTGGAAAGCTGATCCGACATTTACATGGGACACAATCGTAAGACGCCTTTTGTTCTGCAGACATTTTCCTCTTTTGTTTTTATCCGCCATCTCTGTCTTTCTGTCGTCGCTCGGCTAATGTGCTGTGCTGTGCACTGAGCGCTCTCTCGTCCCCATCATGAGTAGACACGCCCCTTACTACTGATTGGCTACAAGTTTGTTTTGGTACTCTGCCCGACTCAGTTTTCTAAAGCGTTTTAAAAAAAATACATACCCCACCTTTAATGCCTTTTTAAAACCATTTAATCCAATTAGTGATTAGATCTTCTTAACCACAAACTTTGTTACATTATTATTATATAACTATATAATAATGTTTATTATAATGTTTAATAACAAATATCTGTTATGCTGTTTATTAGCATTAATAACAATATACATTGTGGTTTTATTAATAATAATTAATAACCACAGTAAACATTGTTACTGTTACTGTTCTTACCATGTAATTAAGTTGTGTTGGTTGATTATAATTATGATTAACCACAAACTTTATTATTGTTGTTTTTGTTTTATAAATATTGTTATATAAATAAAAGTAAAATAACTAAAATCATTATTAACAAATCAATTATTTATAATTAATTATAATAATATACATTTTGGTTTTATTATTAATAACCACAATAAACATTACTGTTTTTTTGTTATTGTTAATGATAATAATGGTAATGCTTTTATGTTTTCTTTTTAATGTTGTTTCTCTTAGATGTCTGGAGTCATTGACATGACCATGCAGAGTGACATAATGGCAACCTTTGAGAAGAACTTGGATTGATATATAAACAAATAAAAAAAAATGTGCTTGTGTATTGCGCTACTGTTCGGTGAACAGTGTAGGCCGTCTTTTCCCTTCCCAGACTTGCTCCATGAGTCCTGGCGACTGAAACGGGTCTTTAGTCTTTTGACGGGCAAAAATACTGCAATACAGCTGCATCACTTTACATTTGTACTAAATTAGCTCTTGTACAAATAAGAAAACCGTCAAGGACTGACGGTCGTGTATGATGTTGTAAGACCAATATTTGCTCCATTAATAGTGTTGAGTGTATATTCTTGAGTTTTCGTTATTTGGATCCGTTTGAAGCTTGGATACAGAAATGCCTGAACTGAAATGCTGCCGATTGTCTGAGGTAGTTTGGAAAGAGAAACATGTCTGTGGTTTCACAACAGTTTTTGTGTTCTTTAACATGGTTAGTTTTTTTTTGTTTTTTTTATACTGAAGAATGTTTACTTCTCTTGATTATTATTGCTATCTGATTCTTTGACACATTCCATCGACACTTCTGCTGTATGAATATTGCATAGCTGGTCTTCTTGCACTAGCTGTTGTGAGAACTGTAAAGGATATTCCTGTGCAGGGCCCTGTCCCTGTTTATCCTACTAGCTGGTAATTCATGTATTTGACGTAAAGCAGCAATTTAAACAGAAAATATGCTGGCTGCGTTAAACCTGTCCTGTTTAAGTTCTATCTTTTTATATATATATATATATATATATATATTTCTGTAGTGTCAGAAATGTATTGTAAGCATGCGTGTATAAATATTTAGCATTTTGTTATAGGGACAGCCTATTTTTTTTTCCCCCAGGTGTACGCCTACAAAGAATCAGACTTATTTAGAGGAGTTTTTGCACTTCCTGTGCTTCTATTTGTATCCATTTGGAAGTGCAGTGCCATAAAGTTTCTCTCGGAGATGATAGGCAGTTCTCTGTGCCTAAAGTCAGCGTGTTCTCCAGAGCCGTGTTGATTCCAAGGTGTGATCAGGTGGAATGTACTGCACTGAAGATATGTTCAAAATCGTTTCTGACTATAATGGTTGTGGCAGTTTTCATCACAAGCACTTTATTCATTACACCACCATGCTGAGGTGTCACATGCTATTGAGGGGAATAATATATTATTTCAAAGAAATCACATTCTAAAAGTTAAATCAATAAAAAAGTATTTTCATTAAAGTTTGTGCATTGTGGTCACTTAAAGTTAAGTAGAACATTTATATTTTTGATACAGTATATATTGACATTCTCATCATACACTACGGTTTATATATATATTTAGCTCATTAAATTGTTCGAAAATGACATTGAAAGCATTACTTTAATTCATGTTACAAAACATTTCTGTTTCAACTCCGTGCTGTTCTTCTGACCTTTTATCACGATTTTCTGTTTTCAAAATTTTATATGCAATATTTCTGAGCACCAAATTAGCATATTATAGTTTCTGAAGAATCATGTGACACTGAAGACTGGAGTAATGATCCTGAAAATTTAGCTTTGCCATCACAGAAATAAATTACGTTTCATAATGTATTAAAACAGAGAAGAGTTATTTCAAATTGTGAAATATTTCACAATAAGCGATTACTGTTTTTACTATATTTTAATCAAATAAATGCAGCCTTGGTAAGAGACTTTATTAAAAATCTTGCCGACCCAACCTTCTGAACGGTATTGTATATGGATGAGATTAAATGGAAATCATTTTAGTTTTCAAGTAGGATATTCTGTTCGCATCCATCCATTCTGTGATGTTTTGTGCTTGGTCTCACTGGTCTCGGGAAATCATTATTTTAATGCACCACGAGGCACAGTATATTTTATTGTTGTATCGAGAGGAGTCATGCCCATTCAAAGTGAGGGGGCACGTGCCCCCCCAGATTTCTGAGCCAAGTGGATTTTGAATGCAGCTTCCAAAAGACAAAAAATAGCCGAATTATATATTTTTATATTTGACACAATCACACCGGTGTGATTATATCGTTCAGTGCGGCACAGCATCAGCATCAGCTGCTAAATTCAAATCTGCGTTCCAGACGCGTTTGAACAACGCTGCATTATAACCAATCACACACGATTCTGTTGAGCTTATGAATGCAATGACCAATCAGAGGCGTTCAGGTGAGTCATCGCTGAAACGCGGTGTTTTGTTCACTTGCTCGCTGACTGAATTATCTGGCAAACGCTCCCATCAGAAACAACAAAGTGCAGATGTGCGTACGAAAGTAAGTAATATATTGATTTAACCGTGTAAACGGCTTCAGTGATCATAATGGGAGTTTTTGAGAGTGCCTGAACTCTGGCTAGACTGAATGAAAATGTTATTTGATCATGTAAATGTTCTTTACTCTCTGTAAAATGAAAGTGTTATAATTAGTAGCGTACAATATTGTTATTAAATTCACATTAAATGCAAAGTCAGTCGTATTAAAAACATATGGTATGGCATAACACCCATATCTGGTACTTATACTACTGGTGTAGTTAATAGATTACACTATTCATCACCATTTATTGATCAAATAACAATCTATAAAGGTGGTTTACTTAGGCTACACATATTTGAGAATCGAGATGTTTCCTAATATAGTTAACACGTTTGGAAATATTTCGAATAAAAAGGGTGGAAATAATAAAGCATAATCCTATATCAGTTAGGCTATACAGTGCTATTCCCCCGCCCCACTTGCCCCCTCAAAAATCATGAGTGCATGACGCCCCTGGTTGTATCCAAGGTCAAATATAGAAGACATCTGCACCTCATCTACACTGCGAGCGAGACAAAACCCCGATCTCTCCCGCGCAGCTTCTGCTCATTCTTACCGGCAGCGTTCGCGAGAGTCCAGAACAATGCGCGTGGACAGTCTGTGAGCTCGCGCTCCACTGCGATCTGGGCCCAGGCAGCTGTATTGACTATAATGGGAGCCTTCTAGTTTTGTCAGTGTAGATGAGGTGTAATGGTTCAGTCCGAGGTGCGAACACCTTTGGGACTGAGCATCTCTTCTAAATAAAGCATAATCCTATATCAGTTAGGCTATACAGTGCTATTCCCCCGCCCCACTTGCCCCCTCAAAAATCACGAGTGCATGACGCCCCTGGTTGTATCCAAGGTCAAATATCGGAAGACATCTGCACCTCATCTACACTGCGAGCGAGACAAAACCCCGATCTCTCCCGCGCAGCTTCTGCTCATTCTTACCGGCAGCGTTCGCGAGAGTCCAGAACAATGCGCGTGGACAGTCTGTGAGCTCGCGCTCCACTGCGATCTGGGCCCAGGCAGCTGTATTGACTATAATGGGAGCCTTCTAGTTTTGTCAGTGTAGATGAGGTGTAATGGTTCAGTCCGAGGTGCGAACACCTTTGGGACTGAGCATCTCTTCTGTCATACGTAAGCGTGACTCCGTACCGTCTACACAGGGATCCTCCCCGGTCAGGATGCGCTCGTGACGGTGCGACGGGGCTATAAGATGCGCGTCGATTTAGAGACGCAGGCAGTTGAGTAAACAAATCAATAAAAGCCGTGTTCAACAAGCGGATTTCCGCAGTAATGTAAAGATGGCGAGACTGCTTCATAACTTGCTGTTGTTGACAGTCGGACTGACGCTGAAGATCAGAGTTATGGGATACTGGTCTCTCGTCTATGGATACTGCGCGCTATGCACGGGCGTAGCGCTGCTCAAACTTGGCTGGAATATCATCCTACGACCGTCAACAACCTTTCAGTGGACGGTTCGTGAGACACCCCCTGCGTGCCTGAATGACACGTCCTTGGGAACCCACTGTTATGTTAGAATCAAGGTAAGAGATCGATCGGTATGAGTTGGATGGATGGTTGACAGTATATGAAAGCATGTATACATAAATATAACTTTGCCCTTCGGTGGTGTTTTTTTCTTTTCTTTTCATTTTTCTTTGAAATATTAACTTTGTCTTAGATGTTTCTCTTTGACTCCTTAGGAGAAACGAATGAGTCGATTGTTGACGTACAGTAAGAGTACAGAAGTACAAATATTAGTGTATTGATTGAGATTACATTTCTGTTTTGATATCTTACCATACCTGGGCACAATTTGAGATATTGTTGAGAAGATGCATTAAATCACTAGGTGTTTCACTAGAAGCAGAAGATCAAGCAAAAGTCTCAATTTATTCTCCTTCACTGGTGTCTAATAGAAACAGTAAATGGATAGTTCGCCCATTAATGAAATGTACTCATCTCATCCTCATGTTCTTCCAAACCTGTATGACTGACTATCTTCTTTGGAATCTAAAAGATTTACATTTACATTTATGCTTTTGGCTGATGTTTTTATCCAAAGGAATTTGCATTGCATTCCAGGTACACATTTTACGTTTCACCAGTTCTTGCTTCCCCTGGGAATTGAACCCAAGACCTTGGTAGCGCCATGCTCTACTGTTTAAACTACAGGAAAGCCCTAAAGGAAATGTCTGTAGGTGTTTTTTTGTTTTTTAAGAAATGGAAGTCAACTGTAACTAACACTGTTTGGTTACCAGCATTCTTTAAAATATGTTCTTTATTGTTCTACTGAAAAAAGAAAGCCATACAGGTTTGAAACAACATGAGGGTATGATAATAGAATTTTCATGTTTGGGTGAACTATGTTTTTTCTTAAGGGAACTATTCCTTTAAAGAGGTTTATTCCTTTCTTTCCCATGTGTTTGTTTCCATCACTGAACATCAATTGAGCAATGTTCTGCAGCAGACAGCAGAGTGATCAGTGTCCAGCAAAATCATAGGCATTGCCTGGACTTCGCTGTCCACTCAAGAGGTGCTGAAAACAGTTCCTTAGGCAGTCTCAGGATAGCTGCTATGTGTATATACCTTCAGAGCTTTGAACATAACGTTCAAACATTAGGTACTCTGAATCTGCACTTTTTCTAAAAAAGTAGCATCCTTTGAAGTCTTACATTTGAAAACAACCACTTTAAGTTTTGTTCCCGAGTGTGTAACCCTTCCGTAACGTGGGGTATACAAACATTTCTAAAGTAAAATATTGTAAGAGAGGGCAACTGCTGGGATTGAGGGATTTGGTATAAAAACTCTGGTATCAACTATGATCTCTATCTGAACGTAAAATAGCAAGTGACATTGAGGAAATGTTATTTTCAAGGGAGAAACCTTTTTTTTTTAATGCCGAGTTAAAAAAATTATTCATATTTTATCAGTTATTTTTTGAGATGAGATGTTTTCTGTACCCACAACTTGTCTGTTTTCAAAAGGAAAATTTTGCATTGCAAACAATGTTCTTGAAATAGCCAGACAACCCGAGGATACTATCACATGCAATTTGATGCAGGCTGTCATTTAACAGGGTATGAATTTTCCCATAAATGTCATTTGAAGATATTGCTTTAATATTAGCTGAAGCCTGTGGACACGACTCTCTCTCTCTGATGCATTTTATAGCTCTATCAAGCAGAGAGTGGTATGAGAATAGATTTTACATCAGGATGGACAGGCCCGTGTGATTAAAGAGACCAGACTGCTTTTTATCATATCCTCCATTTATGGTGAAGAATAACTGCCTCTGGTCTCTGTATGGCTTTTAGGAGTCTGGACTCAGATTTCACTATGTTGCCGCCGGGGAACGAGGAAAGCCACTTATGCTGTTTCTGCATGGATTTCCTGAGTTTTGGTGAGACTCACACACACAAGGGAAACACTTCTCTACTGGGATGCTGCCAGGTACAGATCGGAAA